GTGTGTGTGTGTGTGTGTGTGTGTGTGTGGTGGGTGGTATGTGTGTGTGTGTGTGTGTGTGTGTGTGGATGTATGTATATGTGTGGGTGGGTTTCGAAGTTCATACATGTGGATATATAGAGAAAATTCATCGTGCATGTTCATAGATAGAATAGCCGTATGCATGTTACAATTAAGGTTAGTTTGGTTCAGGAGAACGGTATCTTTATAAACTCTCGCACCTACGAAGCATTAGACAGCGATGTCACAAATGAGATGCGGTCAAGTGGGAGTATGCTTACACAAAATTGATGATGACAAAAGTCAAATGAGACTACACTCAAATCTTAAATCTATCAGGCGATGATCCGATATTGGCCAATTCTCTATACTATGACACAAGTAGTAAAGGTTACCTTGATTGAGTTTTTGCGTGCGCAAAGCTGGCACTGGTGTCTCAAGGACAGGTTTTCCTCTACTGCTCTTGCTGGAGTTCCGCTATCCATGGTATCTGGATCACCACCTTGCCACGCAAACTTTAGATTGTAAACGCGCATCATATTGGAGGATAGTTTGTGGATATGGGAGCGATATGGTTTTTCTTAAGAAGATCGAGTGAGTTAACCTACTGGTAAGTGACTTGAATGTTTTGTCCCGGTTCGCTACTGTTCACACCTTTATTAATCCTAGTTTGTGTAACGAATATGTATCTGTCGTATTCAGGCCGAAAATCCACCCACGATATCAGACTATATGTGAAAGTATCAACAGTATGTGGAAGCGAGCTTCTATAATATGTGGAAGCGAGCTTCTATTTATAACGAGTTGTGTTGCTATACTCGAGTCTCAATTGATGTGAAGCCCGTGGCCGGTCCGTGACCCGTTCAGCCATCGAGTATGAACCCACCCTTCGGCAATCGGTAATCGCCATCGGCGGCAGGTTCAAAAAAAAAAATTGAAAACCCAACAGACCAGAGCTGGCAGTGAATCTTCAATCTATTTTTCACACAAAAAGCATAAATTTACATCAAAACAAGCTACCTAATATGGCATGTTAGAAATGACGCCTAACTCAACACTGGGTCCTGTCAGGTTGACCCTGTCTTCGTGTCAATGTGTGTATTTTATAATATAATTCCGTTATTTATGGCAACAATGCCCTGTGCATACTCTGGACAGGACAAATTTGTGTTCCACAAAGCACAAAACAAACTGGTACAGTCAAAATGAGATTTGAAGTGTAGTGAATGGAATATGAAACATTAAATATTGAAGCCGGAAAGAAGTATTGGTCCGGTACAACATGATTGTTTTAGTTGGATGAGAAAGATAAGAGGAAATTTTTTGTTGCATCCTATATAAGTACAATATAAGTTGACAGCTAGAGTTAAAAATATAGTGTAAAAATGAACTACTAAATTTGTACGAAAGGAACAATATCTATGTTTAATTGGTTTGATTTGAAAGATATTCAAGGGTACAGAGGAATGGATGTTGCATGAGATTTAAGAAGAAAGTGTATATCAATGATAAGAGTCAGAACATTTTAATTTGATATACTAATTATACACATTATTTGTATAGAAGCTAAGGTACTTTCAAGACCTAAAGTAGTAAGAGTACTTAGTCAGCCGTCTCGAATTGGTTCGGATTACTGTTGGATATGTTGTTGACTAGTTCTTTTTTCATTCGGAATTTATAATCCAAAATCTATTGATTTATTTATAGTTGTCATGAAAGACTATATAGAATAGAATGGGAAATCGGCTTTTGACGCCAAACCGACAGGTTATTGGAAACTGGTGAGGCCCTGCATGTATACAACTCTACACCTTGTCACAATTGCGCCTTTGTGACAACAAGTACGCAGCTCAGTAAAGATCGGTACTGAATAAAGACGACGTATACGACGGCAGAATACTGCATTCCCGATTAGGGTTTTTAGGGTTTAAAATTCTAGATTAGAGACTGGTCTGACAAAGGGAAGTAAATTGTTGATTTCGCATTTATTTTCTTCTCTTGTACTATTTTTTTTGTATTGTACGTGTTTGTAATCCTTGTAGATTCATTTAAACGTCTGACGCTACTTGTCGTATAATGTAGTAAATACGCCACACTTTTGGTTTTGCAATAGACTAGGTGAATGACTGAACCAACTAATACATTTAGTTGGTTGATTCAGTCATTCACTTTAGCTACCACAATGTGTACAAGAATACAAGCCGTGGTAACGATATACCTGTAGGCGATTAAGATTTTGTTTCACCTCTATGAATTATATGTCGTTCAAATCTCTGAATTTTTATGTAGATTGGCATCTTAAGACTTGGCTGTAGATTTGACAACACCGCAACAAATATGTGTACTGTTGCCACAAACAAACGATAACGCTTGTATATTCTTCCCATTCATAACTATATAGTTCAATAATGCCCGGCAATGGCATCCTGTATATGCAAACTCATTTGCAGGTGTAATATAAATAACTTGTGGAACACTGTACCAGTCCATTATAAACCTGTGTAGTTGCAATTGCTTCAGATATCCAGGCAATAACTACCTCAGGCTTACACGTACTTGCGCCATTACAAAGCACATCTTAAGTTTTTTGTCCGATTTACGAATGACCCCTGAAGTGTTTGAGAATCTTGAATACTACTCTGTTGTGTCATCGCCCAAATTTGCTGCTTCATTATCTGCGACAACGGTCCTTGTAAGTGTTTACCGATGTTCTGAATATAAAACCAGCGGATTTCTAATAGTAGAAATACATGATGTATATTCGAAACGTTATATAGTTATAATAGTACTGGGATACGTTGAAACGTAATTGTAGGTACTTATAAAATCAAAACAAACAAATATTCTAGCTTTAGATATTTGGAAAATGCAAACAAACAACCAACTAATGCGTTTTAAAGTATTTGAAGATACAATCGTTGTATACATACAATCGAGAGTGGAGACTCTATTATAAACCTGTTGGTCGTTTTTCTATATGTTTCCCCCCGTAATATTGGGATATAAATAATCAATAGTTGGTCTCAGGTAAAATTTGACACTTGATGACACATGTTCTATTCCAAATACTCTCAGCGCAAGATAATCCACAGAGAAATAGGACATGATATTCAGTTTGATGTTTTTGATTTTATTTTGTTTTACTTAAGGACTAAGAGTTCTTTTAATAGTAATTGCGATTTAAGAATTTCTGTTTTGATGCGTAAAATGAAATATTACACATCCAATGGAATAGACTCTGATCATAGTCACTGACATCAAATAAATCTAGACCGACATACTGAGTGATTAGAGCGGAACTATATAGACAATAGTATTAGTCTTAAATCCCCTAATGCTTTACTCATTTTCGAGGGCTGGAGCTGTAGAAATACGGCCTCCGGTCAGTCTAAAATATCAAGATCAATTGAGATAATACATTGGTTTTTTTTTTGTATTTTAAATAATTTAATA